CTCTTGTATAGACAATTGGTGTTAATGCCTACAACATAGTGCACTCATAGAATCTGAACCTTAAAGAATGAGATTCCAGCATAATTTTAAAATAATTTTATTTTTATTAAGAATTTGGAATGATAATCTTAATTTTGTCCATAATCACAGAAGATTATGGACAAAATCCTGTGGTGTTTTTTAAAAACAGGGGCAACAATTTTAACCCTAAGTACATATATGAAATAGATGCATAAAGCAGACTTTGACCATATACATTTTCTTCTCTGAAATTATGCAATATCAAATAGCTTTAACATTTGTGTTTAAAGGATGGAAAGACATGATATAAGCTAGGAAGGAGAATCCTCAGCTGAAACACTTTGGATGAAAAGTTGGGTTTCAAATCAGCTTCTCATCAACCTTTGTACCAATGGTTGCATGGCTAGGGGTCAGATAAACAGCTTCTACAGAAGGGAGTGCTTGCTTGCTCCTGCCAGTGTACCACTTTGTGTTTTTCCCTACTGAACTGCACCTCCTCTTTCTTCAGATCACCTTTCAGTGATAATTATGGCTTAGCTGATAGTCCCTTAAGAAACAAAGTTGAAGGGAATACAAATAATTAAGCGATTAAAAAAACCCATAAAAGCAGTTTTCCTCACCTAGTTTTAATTTTTGTTTTGGGACATCTTTCTATATTTATTCTGGCAAATTTCCTGCTCCTTCATAAGACTCTTGTACACTTTATCTCCACCCAAGTTGATAGAAATCAGTGACAAAAAAGAGCAGCCCTCTTAAAGTTCTTCCAGTCTCCTTTGCCACATGATCCCAGACCTGTCTCAACAAACCACAGTATCCAGTGATCTTGTTGACAGGCAAAAGATAAACCAAATTTCCCATGTGAGCCAGCTGATTGCTTAAATCCATTTTTCATACTTTTTGTGGCAACTGTTTTTTCAGAACAAGTAAATTAAAGATTCCTTATCACTTGTCTTAAGCCAATACCAGTCCAAGATAAAGAAGAAAAGAAAGATGCAAAACTCCTCACCTTTGAAACATGATTTAGACTCTTGCAAAGATTAAAAGCCCTTAAATCAAACATCATTTGTCAGACACAGTTATGATCTCCACTTCATCATAAGTCCTAAACCACTTAGGCTTGTCTGGAAAACCCACCCAGGCTTTCAGCAGTAGTTCAGTGCTCTCCATTGACAGGCAACAAAAAATAAGTCAGAAAGAAGGATCCCTGCCTTGGGTAATGAGATTTATTTCACAGAAGATATGTTTGGTTCCCTCACAATCTTTACTTACAAAAGGTTTTGCCAAGTGCAGGTTTCTCTCACAAACCAAACACTTATCCATGGGCTCACTGCATCATCACAAAAACACAGCTACATGGCACAGCAGGTGTAGGACAATAAATTCTAGCTGACCACAGTACTTAACCGTCAAGTGTAAATCTCCCAAATGCATTTGGAGCTGATCGTGCCAGTAGCTAGTTACGAACTTTAAAAACCAGCCTCTGGATGATAATAATGCAATTACCAATGATGGCTTCTGTTCTCAAAAAAAATACAGCCTTGGAAATACTTGTACAGCAGTAAGTGCTCTGTGCTCCATGCTCCATCAGAGGTGGACACAGAGTAAAGAATCCAGCTTAGCTGAGATTTTTTTATGGACCTTGAGTACAGGAGGTAATAGATTCTGAAACTGCTTTTCTTTTCTTTTTTTCTTTTTTTTTTTTTTTTTTGAGTTGTTTATCAAAACAGAATAGGCCCACTGGGGAAATTATTTGAGTTAGAGAAACAAAATTAGGAATAATTTATAACAAGTGGAATAAACTGTTTATAATGATTCACTGTTCCACCTCAGTGTGCACTTAATGTTATCAGACAGTCTGTTGTGGGTTAGTTGTAACTCAAGTGAGCAGAGACGCATTTCAATTGAGACAAATGGGAAAACAATTTGGACAAGGATACTGTTGGCTATGTGCATCTAGAACAGGTGGTGTCAACATGCCTTCCCCTCTCCTTCCTGCCCCAACAGTTGTACTAAAAGAGGTGCATTGGCAAAAGTGAGCACATTTCTGGGGCTTGTTTTTCTGCTTGCTGTTACTGACTTGCACATTGTGTCTGTCCTCATTTCTACATTCAATGTCAACTGATGCTGGACCAAAAAGTACAGGCATAAAATGGAGTAACAAATATGCAGTAAAAGTTGCACAGCAGTCTCTGGACCACCTACTTTCAAAATTTCCCTGGCACAGCTGCTGGGCCTGCATGTATTCATGCTGAGCTACTTTTGAAACTAGCCATTTTATTTTGAGAATTGCATTAACACAGCATCAGCTGGGAGAAAAGATTGGTCTTTTACTGATTCCCGCATTCAGTATCTGATCTCTGACGGGTAATCATGCTGAAAGGATAATTTGAATGTATCAGGCAAAGTGTATTATATGATGTTTCAGTGAAATGCACAGCGCTAGATACTCTAATTACGCAGAAGATATATTTCCGGTCTTGAAATTCCTTCTGCAATTACTGCAGGTTTTACAGAAATATTGTAGGTTGTGGAAATATTTTATGAAAAGAAAAGGGAAATGTTTCCTTATGCTAATACTGGTATGTTAATGTTTCAGTATGTTAATACTGATAGTATTTTCATCAAATACTTTTTGATAAAATACTTAAAATTTTGATTTTGATAAAATCCTCTGAATGCCTACTGTAAAGTGACTTCCTTATAGCCACACAGTGACAACTCTACAACTTTTTTACTACCAGAATGCAACACATGATAAAAAGTCATAAAAAGAGACCAAGACAAGATAGACTATCCTCTTTCTGATACAGACCAGAAGCAGATACAGAAGAATGAGGCAAGCATCAGATAACACTTGTCTTGCACATCTTCCAGAGCTCCAATATTCATTTCAAAGCCCTGGCCTTTTAAACACTCCACAGCTTCTCTGCAGCTCCTGCACTGCAAACACTTACCTGCTCTCAGATGTGCTGATTCTTAGGCCAGATTACAACACACACGTTGCCTACATAAGCTAGCAGGATACACAGAAACAGGAGCAGCAAGAATTCATTGTGTGACAGTGTGGCAGAAAGGCATCAGTCACCCCTTAAAGAGAAATCATTCTGTGGAGGTGCCAAAAACTTTTAATTCATCTGAGGTCCCTGAGGATTGAGGAGTTTATCCACAGAGCCATCTCACTTCTTTTCCTGGTTTGAATCTGATTCAGTGCTCTGCTGGCTTTGATCCCTGCTGGGTCCCTGAGTGCTGACTGTCTGTGATCTCTCAGTCCTGGGCTCCCTCGTGGTGCATTTTATGCTGTGGGCTTGAACATCAGGGACTACCCCTACTATGGTCCCACAGCTTTAAAAGCATGGATTCCTAGGGGAAAATCTGTACATTTTGAAGGACAAAATGTTGTGGAGTGTAGAGGGGCTAGAAGGAATATTTTTTATGACACCCAGGCATTACAGTAGCACTGACCTTCTTCTTCTTTCAGCTGCCAAAATAACAGGATCTGCAGATGGTATGAAGGAAAATCAAGATAATATGTTTCTGCTGATACACTCTTGGTCAAGTAATCAACAACCTGCATTTTTTCTCCAGGTAACTGAAAGACCATTGGCAAAACAATCTCATTATTTTTGCCCTTGTTTCTTAATCTATTAAACAGGAAAAATCTAATTTGCCTTACTTCATTAGATATTTTTGGATCTATAGATAAAATGTGATCACAACAGGAATGTGAAAAGGCAAATTGAAAAAAAATACCGGAAAACTTAACTGAGTGGCTTCAAACATCTGGAATTGTTTGAGTCTGATTTTCAGCTCTGATTCAGGTGATACTCTCTTTTTGTCACCACCTGGTAAGTCTACATAAAATCCTAGTTTTGCAAACATAGGCCAGTGCTAAACACTACAGTCTGTTTTCAAATCCAAGATGCCTTTCCTCACTTGTGCAACATTTTATTTTCTTGAACCTTTCCTGAGCAAAGAGCAAAAACAATTGCTCTCAATGCAGAAAAATAAGTGATTTTAAGACAAATTTGCTCTTCAAACTTTTAATACACAAACATAAGGAGAAAGGTGAGTTGAGGGACTGTGATTGGGAGTTGACAAGGGCACTTTCACAGAGCCTTACAGAAGGGTTTGTTATTATTTCTCTCACTAAGGCATTTAGATACCAAGTGAGACAGGAAAGTGCAGTCTCCAGGTGTAGCTGGGCTGCTGAATTGGTAGGGTTTCATCTGCACTGCTCAAAACAGTTATTTCCACCAGTCTTTGGTTTATCTGTGGTTTGACATAACCTGACTGACCGTGGAGTTTATTCAACCAGAGAAGAATCTACATTGAGGAAAGAGTGGTGGATTAGTGACACTGTGTGCACGTGTGTGACTGATCTCGTTAAGAAGCAATTTGTGTTGTGATCATTTTATTGTTGCTCTGCTGCAATTCAAAAGAGTTGAAAGGACTCAGGAGTGATGACAGCAGTAGAGATAGAGATTTTGAACAGAACTTTCTATTAAGTAAAAAAGACCCCTACACTTTTTCCTGCTGTTTTCAAAAGCTGGGATGCATTTGTTTCTGTAATGCCCCGAAGGGACTGTCACAGCTCCTTGCAAAGCAGGAGGCGAGTGTAAATCGCCCTTACCTTCACAATGGCATGGCGGCAGTCAGAATTTTAAAAACCAGCGCAATTTTATTGCCAGTCAGCTCTCCTCTGTTTGCCAGCGTGGATCAATGCGATCGATGCTGTCACGATAGCTGCCTGAGAGCAGAGAGGGAGAGCGGCGCGAAGCAGAAAAACTTCACGAATCCGGCTCGTTTCACCTCCTGCTCTGTCTCCACCCTCGGAGCGCGGCGGCTCCTCCTGGCGAGCGGCGCTGCGGGAGCGGGATGGGGATGGGGATGGGGATGGGCATGGGCATGGGCATGGGCATGGGCATGGGCTGAGCCCGGGCGGCGCTCAGCAGCTGGCAGGGCAGGGCAGGGCAGGGCAGGGCATGGGCTCCGCTTCCCCTGCCGCTGCAGGCAGGAATCTCCCACCTCTGCGGGCTGGCTGTCCGTGAATGCCTCAAACCAGCTGTGAGAAAACAGCCTTTTAGCCTGGGCAAGTCAGCCGGGGCCTTTGAGGATTAACCCATCTGATAGCTGACTTTACAGAGACTGAAAGTCCAGGTGCCTTAGGGGGAGTGGAGGGCGGTACAGGAATGGGACTGTGACTACGTGGAGAACAAATTCTGAGGGCTGCAGTTCACCCACGCTCTGCTCCAGCGATCCTTTTGCAGGGGACCATGGAGAGCCGGTGCTGAGTTCGAGTGCTCGGCAGAAGCAGCAGCGGGCTGGTGAAGATGGAGAATGGCACAGGAGACGAGCAGAACCAGACTGGGCTGCCACTATCAAGCCAGGAGATCATTACAGCTGAATACCAAGTGGTTACCATCCTCTTGGTCCTCCTCATCTGCGGGCTGGGCATCGTGGGCAACGTCATGGTAGTTTTGGTGGTCCTCAGAACCAAGCACATGAGAACTCCCACTAACTGCTATCTGGTGAGTCTGGCTGTGGCAGATCTCATGGTGCTTGTGGCTGCAGGACTGCCCAATATCACAGAGAGCCTGTACAGATCCTGGGTGTACGGCTACGTCGGGTGCCTCTGCATCACCTATCTCCAGTACCTGGGCATCAACGCTTCTTCTTTCTCCATTGCTGCCTTCACCATCGAGAGGTACATAGCCATCTGCCACCCAATCAAAGCTCAATTCCTATGCACTTTTTCAAGAGCCAAAAAGATCATTGTTTTTGTTTGGGCTTTCACCTCCATATACTGTATGCTCTGGTTTTTCTTGCTAGACCTTAATACAGTAGCCTACAAAGAGACTACTGTGGTGTCCTGTGGCTACAAGGTCTCCAGGAGCTATTACTCTCCTATCTACATGATGGACTTTGGTATATTTTATGTTGTGCCAATGGTATTGGCAACTGTCCTCTATGGCCTGATTGCTAGAATACTGTTCCTGAACCCCATCCCTTCAGACCCAAAAGAAAACTCTAAGACCTGGAGGAATGATGTGGCTCACCAAAGCAAGCCTATGAATTCCAAGATGACTAGCAGGAGTTTCAATAGCACTATTGCTTCTCGAAGGCAGGTAGGAACAACTACTTGAAATGGCTTTCTGAAACTTAAACAACTTGTTTTAAAGCTCACTTGTCTGCAGCTGTGGAAAGAGGTAAAATATATTCTTCCTTTTTTCTAAGTAGTCAAGTTTAAAATCAGTGATACACATATACATAAAAATACATATTTTTTTCCTTGCTTGTACATTATTACCTACTGCAAGGACAAAAAAAAAAAAAAAAAAAAAAAAAAAGAAACAGTATTTTATTTCCTATATCAGAAACCAATTAGAAAGTGTCAGACATGATGGAAACATTTTTAACTATAATTTCTTTACATTACAGCTTGTTAGTAATCTTGCCAGATATACAAAGTGACACTCGACTTATTTTTGAGATTTGAAGGGAAGGAACTATTCTGGGAGTTTGGGACACTTGAGGTTGAGTCCCAGCTAAGGCACTCTGTCACTTAGCAAATGCACTTAAGCTGTAAATTTTCCTGTCTCTAACTCTCCTGTGAAAAGTCTGTTTAAGGAAGTCTGTATATAAATTGCTTTGTAAATGCTAAATATCTTTGTTTCTCTGTCTCTCAGAGAATATTTTTGTACTGATGGCTCAAAACTGAGGCATAGGTTTGACTAGCTTCTTTCTGTATTATTGAATATGTATGCTGCTATGTGTAACAATACCAGTAGAACATAGTTAGCAGATTAATTGCTGGCTGTTTGCAGTAAACCACCTGGCGTGCAGCAGGTAGCACAGCTGGTGCAGCGGTGGGAAACACAGGGTGCATCTTTTGCAGATGGCTCTGGGAATATTCTTCTTATTTTGCTTCAATTGCTACTGTTTATGAGAGGGACCATGTTCTCTTATCACAGAGATGGCAAAACCCTCAAAAGGTAACTGATTTGCCTTCTAGAGCACCAAGCCCTCAGAGAGCACTAGAGCTGTGCTTGGAAACACACAACAGAAATATGAGGGCTAGGTTAAATTTAATTATGTTGCCAATAGTTAAGAGTCAGGAAGTGTGTAATGTTGTTTTTCTTTGTCCATGAATTAGTAGAAGATAACCTGCTCTTCAAGTTAATATCACTTTATACTTGATTACATGTGCATAGTATCACTTGAAAACAGACAAATCTTTTACACTGAACACTGATGAATATGGACACTGTTATATCATGAAAACAAAAGGTGAAGATTATAATGTGATATCTTTTATGTCTTGTAAAGACAGCAAGACTTTCTCTAAAAGCCTAAGCAACCTGTTTGCTTAAAGCTGCTTCATTGTAAGTAAAGCTAAAATTTGTATATAGTACAACACAGGAAGCAAAGCAAGGACAGTGTGGCATAATTAGTAATACTTTTTGTATAATAGCAACATGCAAAAGATAGGCAGTGGTGTAAAAAACAAGAAAAACAAGAGAAAAAACAAGTACATATTTAAAAAGCCTAGAATCTCAACAGTTAGTAAGACACAAAAAGGAAAATTTCCTGCCATGTTGACAAGGACACATATAGCTGACAATACAGTCTGGTCTGACAGTGAGTCCTGCTGAAATGTGAAACTGTGTCTTCCTGGACCTGTGTTTGCACTACAAGGATTGAGAAGTGTACAATATCCAGCATGTAGAAAAGGTGTCTGAAAATGTGGTGTGAACTTCCTGCTTCTGTAGCAGTTCTCATATTTATCCAAGAACATTTCTATGAAATTAAATATATGCGTGTTTCTGTAGGGGGGTTGTCTCCAGCTGAGAATGGGAGAGAAAATGGGAAATGCTCTTATTCTTCATGATCCAAGGCAAGCACAGGCAAACAAATTATCACTTATTGTCATGGGCAGTACAGACTCAACTTTGGGAAAATTAAAATTGCCAATTTTTTGTCTGTTGTTGTAGCCACAAGTTACACTCTGTCCCTTCCCTTCAGCAATCAGCAGTGTGGGGCCAGAGAGTGCTGCAGCCAGGTTGCAGAGGTTGGTCCTTTGTCACTCCTTCTTCCTCACCCTTTTCCTCTGTTTCAGTGTGGGTCCTGCAGCCCACAGATCACAGGTTTTTTTTTTTTATTTTCCATTCACAGTATTAATATTGAATTACATGTTTGCATGTGAGTTTCATACTTTCTCCAAAGGAATTCCTACTTTCCTCAGATATCAAGGTGACTGAGAAAAATAAAATGCAGCCTTACATAGCAAACATGTTGGTTTAAACTTGAGCTGGAATCCAGATCACCTAACGTTATGTGTATCTCACAGAGTTAGTTGATTAGTCCAATCAAATAATCTAAGGTCATCATGGCTATTGTGGTCAGTAACAACAGGCAGATTGCCCTCTGGAGAAAGTCCTCTCAGACAGTGCTGCAGTCATGACCTGCTCATTGGAGAAATCCTCTGTTCTCTCACAGCACAGCAAGCACAGATTCCAGCTTCCAGTGCGAGATAAGTTTTACACAGCTTACATGAAATCCTCAATATTATCACTTGGTTTCACTTGTGGTGTTAGTATATCAAGACCTTAATCCCTTTACTTATTTAATTCTCCTCCTTATTGCACAACTTCTTTTTTATTAGGAAATCATGGACTGGGATATGCAATCTCTGTGTGTTGCAATGAACACAACCAGGCACAAGAAGAAAGATGTTATTACGTGGCTTTAAAACACCAGAGTGACTATTGCTTTTACCTATCAGTGTAAGAAAGATTAGTACTCAAAGGAGAAGTAAGCAATACTAAATTGTTTGTATCAAGATAGTGAAAATGTTTAATAAAAACCTTTCCTTAGAATAAGAAGCTTTTGGAGCAGGAAGGAAAAAGAGGATACTAGTTCAGAATCAAAATATTGAGACTCTGTTTAGTAAAATATGTTTTAAATATTCTTTAGAACATTCTCAGAAATAAAAAGATAGGGCTTGGAGAATGTTTATATGCAGGCAGAACCATATTCAATCTCAAGCTCTTTTGTTATCGTTCAAACTACACTTGAAATTTGGACTAAGCAGAAATTGTTCAATCTCCCTAACTAAGAATAATTTGTACCCTGAGCATAGAACATACAGTGCACATCAACAAGAAAAGATCAATCAGTGTATGCTTGCCTTCACCTGAGCAGTGAATTGAGAATGTCGTGCTGCTGCTTTCAGGGAGCTTTGGTGTATGCTTACAGTTAATAAAAATCATGTTCTTTTAAAATTTGTCCTCTTAGCACTCCACTAATGTCAAATAATTAGCCTCTTCCCAATATATGTTTAGTTCTGTTTCATATGAAGTGATTTAAAAAAGGATATGGCTTTTTGCTTAAACAAAGAGGACCAAACTTTCCTCTAAATGATTTATGTTCAGCTATAATGACTTTTGGTGTGGATAAGAATGGAGCTTTGGCCTCAGTTATGTATTTAAATAATGGGTTCACCTATAAAGCAAATTGAGGTGACTTTGTGACAAAAGCCCTAAGTGGTGCCTCACCTTGCAGTGGGGTGATGACCCCCAAGCTGGGGCTAAGTCAGTCTTGCCAGGCCACCCCCTCAAACTGCACACAGGTCATGTCTGAGGTAGCTGAGCATGAAGAGCCCTTCCAGAGCCAACTTAAGGAGGCAATGAGCAAATAACTACCTGAATTCAGGGCCTTGTTGTGTGTCTCAGGGACAGCCACAGCCAGTCAGATGGATCAGGAAACTGAATTTCTGACAGGCAACAGAGACCTTGTGGGAGTTTTGTTATTTTTGGCAGCTTTAGAAGGATATGTACTGCAGACAGTACATATATATATATATATATTTGCAGTGTATGGGATACAGTCAACTGAAGAGTAAAAGTGGTTTTTTCATTGCTGTACAATGTTAATGACCCTTCTTGACAGTAAGAATAATTTACTTCTAGTCCAGATTCAAGCTGATAGCTGCAACACTGCAAATGATCCTCTGTGCAATTTTTCCTGAAAGAAATGTAAATGGCCAATGCCTGGTAGGTACCATAATGGAGTGTCCTGCTGAGCTTCTGGCAGCAAAGTACTCTGATGCCTGTGTAGGCTGCTATGCCCTGAGCGCCTGAGCTGATGGAATACATCTGGTATGGTCTGGCTCTGTCCCGTTGTTCACCCAGGCTCCACAAATGGTGGCTTTCTTCCTTTAAATGTGGATTATTTCCTACAGTGAATGATTGTTCTCCACGGAATGGATTTGCTCAGTTTGGAGGCACAGACTGCAGCTGAACTGGAGGGATGAGAGCCAGAGTGGGCCAGTACTGGGTCAACTCTCTCCTTGCCACCATGTTCACAGGAATGGCCCTTTCAGAAGTGGAGATAAAGAGAGATCATCCTTTGAGTTACCTGGAACATTCACGTTTGTATTCTGTCTATTACAAAAACTGTGCACTGAAAATTAGAAAAGAAACAGTGTAGAAGTCATAATGAAATGTATCAGTCAAATGACAAAAAAGGAGATAGCATTTCTCAGTCTTATTTTTTACTTCCACTGAACACAGCTGTAGAGAAAACAAAAGTAAGGGCGAGGGAAGAACTATAAGATAAAATTGCAGCCTTTGAATATGCACATTTAAAGACCAATAAATAGATAATGATATATCAATTTGTAGAGTAACTTTGATTTTCATCACATACTTTATTGTAATACCTATAACATACCAAACAAATTGGCTTAAAAGTGTGTCTTTCTAGAAAGATAGGAGAAAATACATCCATGAGGCAATGTGATGGCAGGATTCTATAAAATGAGCTTATCTGGTCAGAAGACAATAGAATTATATACTCACAACATCAAACTAAAGCCCACTTCTAAAACTAGCATGTGTGAGTGATCTTAGTGGAGTTATCTCCTATTGAAACTCTTATAAATCTACAATCAGAAGAAACAGTTGTAGCTCATCAAAATGTGTGCCAATACTTTCTATTTCACACAGTTAACCAAGTCATCTCCTGACTTCCAGAAGGCTGTATCAACATATTGTCCCATGTCACATTTCTGTGTGCCTTCTACTTTCTTTGTTACTAGCTTTCAAACTTTCTTTAATGTAGAGACTGTTGAATAGTGTCTACACTAGAATTAAATTATTTATAAAAGAAAGACTAGTTTTAAAGTGGGTTTAATTTTTTTTTAATTATTTCTCGTTCACTTAATTTCAGCTATCCTGGGTATTCCCAATGGTTGCTCTTTTCTTTTTTCAAAAGAAAATTACATAATAGAATAAAGTTCTTATAACAATCAAGTTTGACTGACAATCCTTTTTTCCCCAGGCTCTGTAAACATTATTTGACTTTTCAGAGTAAACATCAAATAATGAAGATCTAATTAAATATTGAGGATTTGAGGAAAATAAATGAATCTAATTGTTCTCCTTTTTTCCTTATTTTTGGCTTTGGGAAACTGTTGTAGGCTGACTGTTAAACCAGATAACCTAAAAAGGCCTCATGCTCTATTACTCTACTGGCTATACTAGTCTAAAGGTAGAGATCTAATGTGTTGGAAAAAAAATTACTCTCTATCCTTTTTTCCCATTTGAATCAACACCCCCTTCCAGCATATGAAGTGGGAATGTCTAAGGTCTACAACAGTTAGCTTACTGTGATATCATCTGGAAAGAGTAATTTAACAAAAACTAGGAAGAATTTGAAGCCAAGGTTTTTTTACTTCCTACTGTAGAAAACCTTTCTGAATCAAATATTCATCAGAAATTCCCATTGAAGGATCTGTCCAGGGATTTGGTTTGGCCCTAGAGGGTAAGAATGCACATGTTCATTCCAAGGGGAGTACTGACCCTGTGCCCCCCTTCTGTCTCTCTCTGTGTTCCCTCAGGTTACCAAGATGCTGGCCGTGGTTGTGATCCTGTTTGCATTCCTGTGGATGCCCTACCGCACCCTGGTTGTTGTCAATTCCTTTCTTTCCAGACCCTTCCAAGAAAACTGGTTCCTGCTATTTTGCAGAATCTGTATTTATTTAAATAGTGCCATCAATCCTGTAATTTATAATCTCATGTCCCAGAAATTCAGAGCAGCCTTCAGGAAACTGTGCAACTACCAGCAGAAACAGGAGAAGAAACCTGCCAGTTACAGCATGGCCCTCAATTATAATGTCATCAAGGATTCTGATCATTTCAGCACTGAGCTAGAAGATATTACCAATACCTACCTGTCCTCTGCAAAACTGTCCATTGGTGATACGTGTTTGTCATCCAAGGTGAGAGTTAACACCTTTCAGTGCTGTGGGTCCCCAGGAGCAGAGCACGTTGCTGGGCATGGGGCTGTGCTGGGGTGGCTGTCAGCCAGGGCAGCACTGCAGAGGGCTGGAGAGGCTGGCAGTGACAGGGCCTGGTGGGCAGGCACAGCTGCCCAGCTCTGGAAAGCTCTGTTTTCAAAGTGCCTGTGCCAGGCGTGGGCGGACTTGGAGGATCTGAAACATGCAGAAGGATGGGGAGAAACCATCAGGTTAAGCCTTCATTTCTGAGGAACAGTGGGCTCCAGTGGAGCATCAGAAAGTGGTTCTCAGGTGTGGTGCCTCAGGTGCACATCTGGCAGGAAGGTGGTGTTAGTGTCTGAGCTCAGTGATTCCTCTGGGCACGCTCTGGCTGGCTTCAGGGAGGGCAATGGGGCATTTTCTTGTGCCGTCCCCCTTGACTCCAGCTGGGGTTAACTAGCCCGGTGCCACCACACAGCTGCTGCTAAGGAGGACTCTCCCACACACCAGTACTTTCATTCTGTAGTGTGTAGCACATCTCTTTAACCCACTTCTCTTGATGATGCACATTACTGTTTTTATTATGCTTTTTTTACACAATACTATCTAAATTCTGTTTGTGAACCCATACAATTAGATCTTAAAAATATAGATGATCTACAGAGGCTTAGTTTTCATTTGTTTTTGCAGATTTTATGAGAGTGTAAAATATTTTTTTTCTCAGTTTGCTTCTTTTCTCCTCATTTCCAGGCCTGAGGCCCACCTTGTTCTGAGTGTGCAGCCATATAAGACGTTTGGATGCTCCGTTCCCACCAACTGTATGAATTTTAAGGACGTTTCTGCTCACGGAATTGCAGAAGCTACCATAAATCTTTACCTACCTGCCTGTGCCCTACAAGAAAATGCAGCATTTTGGGGAGTAAAGAGTATATTATTGAGGCTAACTAAATGAAGCACTTAATACAACCTAACTTTAGGCAGGTGAGTTGGCTCCAGGAGAATACCTAAATCCTTCTTCCCATTGCCTGGCCAAAGAGTGGTCTGATCTCAGAATGAGCAAGGCTTGCCAGGACATGTCCATGGACACAGAGTGGGGCAGGGGATGGTAATCCCTGTGAAGATGAGAGGTGAGGAGAGGAGCTGCTCTAATGTGTACCTGCACTGGGCAGTACCTGGGGGACCTTTCAACAGCAGCCAAAATTGCTAATAGCAGTAATTACCTGCCAGTGACTCCCTCAACCCACATCAGTGCAAATCTCATTGCAGCCATCACAGCATGCTTCAATAAACAGGTATCTGATGGCAAAAAGCACAAAATCTTTCCTTTCTTTGGTTTCTTTTTTACCTTGAGCAGTATGAAACAGGATGACTATTCAATTAATTTGCAGCAGGGAACAAACAAATTAAAAAGTCAGTAAGAAGCATTCAAAATATCTTATTTTTTTCAGCAATCAGGTTTACAGATGTACCACTTTAAATGTAAGTCTCAGCTACTACTGAATCCTGTTGAAATTGACCGATATTGAAGAGTATGTAACAGGCTTTTAACAGCTCCTTTTATCTTGGTTCAATACCAATTGTATCTAAGAGCACTGGAAGGGGTTTAGAGATTTAATATCAATAATATCTAGGGAAAAGAGGAGAATACAGAGAAAAATGACACTGTTTAAATGTTTAACATTTTTAAAGTTTATCTGTTAGAATACTTTAGGACATAAAGTGTAGTGAGAAGAAAAGTCATCATGGATTTTTACTTGCCAGCACAGCCCCTTCTCTGCTCTTCCCACACAGGCCCATGATAAGCAGCCTGGAGCCATAGTCTCCCTAATGTAGCTACAGACAAAATATCATGCTGTGCTTTGGCTTTGCTCTAGACCAGCTCTTGTTCTTGCTAGAAGTACATTTTCTCACTTCTGTGCTGCAGAAGCCCATGAAAGTGCCTGTGTATTCCTGTGTGCCATGAACATTTTGCACAGCTTTTATACACGACATTCTAAAACCTGTAAAAAACCTGATTCACACAATTGCGGAATAGGCTGATTTAGAAGGGACCCAGAAGGATCATCGAGTCCAGCTCCCAGCCCTGCACAGCCCATCCCCAAGAATCACAAACCCGCCCAGTGTGGGGGAAAGAGGCAGCATCGTAAGGCTTTCCTAGCCAGTATTCTTTTGCCTACACAGCTACTTCCCTAATTCAAGCCCCTTCCCCTAATATTCAGCTATATTTGCAAACTTAAAGAGAACTAAAAAAAGCCTGATAGGCCTCAGATTTAAATGCTAAAACCATGAACCTGTATCAGATGCATCCAAAGGATTCTATTAAACATTCTCTACATGGCAAGGAGGAAGCAAATGAATTGCCCAGAGAGGTTGTGGAGTCTCCCTCACTGGACACATACAAGAACCATCTGCACTCAGTCCTGTGCCATGTGCCCTGGGATGACCCTGCTTGGCCAGGGAGGTTGGACCAGATGACCAATTGTTGTCCCTTCCAATCTTACTCACTCTGTGATTCTGTGATTTTGCAAACAGTCTGTATTCTGCTCTGTCTGAATCCTTGCTTTAACTCCAGTTTTACCTGTGCAGAGCTCCACAGGCACTTTCCAGCTTGGCAGAGTGATGGCAAAGCATGGGAGGGACCAACAGCAAGGTTTTAACCAGCAGTGCAGGTGTGACAAAATTTCAAAGCTGGCAGAGCTTTGTCTGGAGCAGAGCCAGAAGCGGGACCCATGCAAGCTATGTTGCAATTTTCCCCAAATCCTCTGCATTTCCCAGCTTGCCAGGTTGTTTATCTAAGCAGCACAGGCCACCAGGCAGGCACATGCAGTGGGGTCTATGTCTGTGCATATGTCTGAACCCCCACAGGACTGGAAGGGCAATGTCCAGACTGCTTTTAAAATAATAAGGAAGAACTAAAATGACAGAGTAAGTCATGTGTCAGCCAATAAAGGAAAGTTGGCTAGGGCTCAAGAGTCAGAGAGAAGGCTACCAATGTATTCTCAAATTAGTACCTAGCTATTAATCTCATAAATACAATTCTGTAGCTGTGATATACACTTTGGGCAAACCTTTCCTTTGTAGAGCTTGATGTGAAAATATGGAGTTTTATAGCATTTTACTGCTTAGACTTGCTTAAAGCTGCAGATTGCCATGATAAGAGAAAGTTAAGGAGAAATACAACAACCTGTTTAACATTTCCTCCAAAGCACATGTCACAGAAAAATTAAATTATCTGTGGACCTTACACAGGAATTTATGGTTGCTTAGCCAAGATTCATTCCAAGTAAAGGCACATTCCTGTGTCTGACTGAGCAAAGTCTTTGTCTGACTTTGCAAACTCTTGTGATGAAGCCAGGACAGCTTCCAGCTGCTGGGAGCTGATTCCCAGTCCCAGGGGCAGAGGCTGCTGGTGCTTGGAAATCCCTTTGCTGTTTCCAGCCGGGTATCTATTCAGTGCTTTCAGAGGAGGCCCTGCTTTCCAGAATTTCTCAAGAGGTGCTAGAACTAGTTGCTTTTTTCACTTAAAAAGCAAGATGTGCAGGTCTAGCAGCAGGCACAGAGGGCATTCCATGGAAACCTGACAATCTGGTGAGGAGCACAACTGGCTGGGTAAAAACTGAGCTCAGTATTTGTGTAATAACAGTAAAACTTAAACTTTTATCTCAATGTTTTCAGAGCACAGGCTGAATTACAGATTTTATAGAAGTGAGTTCTCTCATCTATTTGCCTTTTTGCTCAAAGAGTAACCATCTGCTTTCTCAGCCTCTGATCCACCAGATGCTCAAGTGAGATATTTAAGCCCATATTCTTTGTGATGCTTCATGAAGGGTTAAAATCTATGTAGGTGACTTTGTATCCACCATCACTGGGAATGACAAAAATGAAATTATTTCTTTCTGATATGTATTTGTGCTAACAGAAATTATTATGATTGCAAAATTGTGTGCAAAACCACAATATTTATAATTGCATATTTAAGCTAAGGTGTGATTTTAACTGATAATGTGATGTGACTGTATCTTTATAGATATTAGTTGTGAAATCCATGCTAATTTTATACTGATATACAACTAACACTACAAAACTTTGTCAGATATCATGCTGATGTGACTGTTTCTGTGTTTGCCCTTTGTTTAAAACAGCAATCAACCTTTTTTCTTGTACCCAGACGTTGTAAATTATATATGTGAGAATGTATTTTTTTAATTATATGGGTTTAAATTTATTGATAATTATATCAGGTTTTTTTGCTAGAAGTGAAAGTGGCTGGATGTCAACTACTGACTGCAGTGATATAACTTTGTATATTTATTTTGTGGATAGCAAAGTTCTTTGCAACATTTAGTCTGAAATAAATGTCTGATTTGTAGCAATATTGAAATCCATGCCTATATCCTTATTTAACATCTTTCCAGTAAGGGATTGCAATCTTATTGGACTTTTATTTAGAAGTTTATTCAGAATGTAACAGAAGAGGTGCTGGAGCTTGGGGAGCTCCTTCCTTTCTGAAATGCTGAGATTTCAGAACCTTCAGTGAAGGTAAATTGTGCAGCTGAGAAAGGTCAGGTGTATTTGTAACACACTTTGGTTCAAATTATCACATGACCTCCCTGAGTTCAGAATAAAGGATATACCAGAGAAGATCCAGTGTGCTGTAAAAGGGTTTATGATGCTGCTGTGGAAATGGAAGACACAAGTCAAATGATAAAGATCTCACTAGCATAACTTCAAAAACAATTATCTGGAAAATGGACTGAAGGAGCTGCTGCCGTACCCCCCCCCCCCCCCAGCTACACAGTGAAAGCTTGGATCAGTCACTTTGGAAGTTGATAATTTTGTTTGTTTTTAAAAAGTTATTCTAGAAAAAATAAATAAAAAATAAACCACACATACTCACACCCCTAAATCTGAGCACTGTTACCATGGAAAAACCCCATTATTTCAAGAATGTGAAAAGATAAATTGATCTTTCAACAGTGAATTAATTTCTTTGCTATGTGTGTTTCTTTTGTTGCAAAAGTTGTTTCTTTTGATACAAATTGCAGTGAAATTTGAATATTTTCTTTCTATATTTTATATCTTCTTCAAATAGAATTGTTTCTTTGCTCTTTTGTTCTTTTCAGTAAGAGTTTATTTTCTCATGATTCTTTCACTACTCCTGGGATACAGTGATACAGCAAATGCCAGTGCATTGGCTCAAAGTGATTTGGACTCCTGAATTCATTAATCTGGGAGCTGAATCTTGGAAATTTTTGAATTCTAACAAATTATGTAACTATGTAAGAGCAACTGGTTTGGAGGGAGTCTTTTTTTCACTTACCCAGATTAATTCTGGTTTCATTCTGTCACTTCATGTGGTTTATTTATTTATTATAAATAGTGGGAAATTATTCAGAGAAATGTACTACTGATAAATGTAGAACAATTTTTGTTCAAAAGAAGCATTTTGTAATTCTTGGATGCATGCTACTGTGGGGATTAATTTGTAATGGATTTTTGTTGCTATTCTAATAAAATGTTGAGCAAGATAATTCTACTGCAATTTAAATTTTTTAACAACTGCTTGAATACAACCTTTTGTCTTGCTGTCCTTAGCAATGGACAGACAATATAACAACATCCTTTTTCACTTGTAGGAGAATGAGATCCTGAAAAATGCAGTCTTTTTTTGCTGAAGGAAGAGCAGTGTGCCAGTAGTCTAGCAGCAGTTACAGTGCTTAAATGGGAGGGGATTCATAGAATCCTTGTCCCTGTTACAAGGATTATTTATGTATTTTACATTGGACAGCATTAAACAAAATGAACAAACAAATAAAAAAGGAGAAAACCCCCCACATCTTGGGAGTAGGGGCAGAGCCCAGAAGCCACGTTGGTCACTACAATCAGCATACCTGGTTCCTGTACTCCATGGGTACTGCTTGGCTTTTCTGGTGATATCAGCCACTTGTGCCTGAACCCAGCCTCAAGAGGATGAGTGGAATTACTTGATCTGCTGTTTTTCCTCAAGGTAATGCACAGAAACCTCAGTCTCCTGAGGATCAGGATATACAGAAAAGCCAAACTCTCTAGAGCTAGACTAAAGCCCAATTCATGTTTCTCATTTCTTAGGTAAGTGCTCTACCATTAGTCCTAAAGACAGAGGGCTCCCTCTCCAGTCAGATCTTGCTGACTTTGTGAATCCCAGGTAATAGGTTTCTTAATCTTTTCATTTGTACCCCACTCACGTTGTCTCCATGGGGCTGGATAACCTCATACACTGGTAGGTGGTGGAGCAGAAGTCAGAGCAGCTCTGGGTCGTGAGGCACTCTGGATCCTGGTGAACAGATTGACCACGAGGCAGCAAAAGCCACCTGCAGCAAAGACAACAATTTACATCCCATACCTTGGTTATATACAAATATGGAATAATGAAAATAAGATTATAGTAATATACTTTCACCCAAAATCTTCACTTAACTCATAGCTTCTAATAAAATAAAACACAGAAAACAGGTAATGTCTAAAATAAGTGTCACCCATCCAAAAAGTACAATTTTTGAGATGAGCTCTATCTGTGATGGGCATACCTTGAGCTTATATTAATTTCAGAATGCAATTATCCAACTCTACTGCCAGCTCTGCATCAGAAAGAGATCCTGTAACAATGGATCAAATCCCTGTTGATCACAAACAGGTTTTTCTTTCAAATTCTAGACAATAACTGTATGAAAGAAAACAAACAATAACACGATGCAGCTCCCACTGTCTGGGGAAAGTACAAACAGCAAATTGGGATAACAGATTTGTCTCATGCCACTTATTTATATCTAAAAATACACCAAAGCACATTTAGAAGGCAATTATGGGAAGATCTAGGGTAGCTTGAAAGACAGGCTATATTATGTTCAGGCAGACATTGTCATTCAGGAGAACAATGAGCAGAAATTACAAAGGGTTAGTAAGTTATTTAGTATATAGGACACACATTTAAGAGGGAAACAGGAAATGACAGCTCTGAAAGGAGTAGGCGTCTTCAAAAATTGACCCTTTATCATGTAAACATGACATTTGAAAATGTTATATTGTATCCTACTCTGTTTATGCAGAACAATTAGAAGAGTGAACAAGGCTGTGAGAGGATACAGTGGATGTGTGGGAGAGGCAGATGGCCATGTCTGCTGCAGTGAGAACAGGTTAGTCTAACTTTTTAGAGATCACGTCTAGTAACAAGTTGCACTGCAAAGAAGCTTCACAAGCTGTTGCTGTTACACTAAAATAGCATGTGACAAGCTTGAAAAAAGATGTTGTGTCTGATACTCTAGAAAACACAAGGGGCCATGGATGGAGCTCACATCATAAGACTGCAGTTTTCTAAGTTACAAATGCTAGTTTCCTTTCCCTGGTGCTATGACATTCTGGACTGTCAGGCTGAAGTTCATCAGGCTACTGCTATTATGACTTCTTAATATAAATGTTTTGGTGCTAAGGAATACTATTCAGCAGGTGATAATTGCCTGTAGGGAACAGTAGTGAATGAAGCAGCAGCTCAGGGTGGGCACTGTCCTGCTGCCACCAACACTGTCAAGCTGTTGTTCAGCCTCTGGAGCACATCTAACCCCCAGCAAAGTGACACTCACAGGGAGATAGCCTGGCCTGGCAATACTCCAAATAAGCACTTTGGGAATAAGCACTTTGGGTGTTGCCACCCTCTTTGTGAGGGTAAAGGAATTTGTGTGATACGGATACAGACCATGTGGTGCCTGCTGGGTCTGGAGCTGGCAAACAGATGGTGGTCTAGTTTGAGAGTTAGCACAGGCACAGGCCCTCTACCTCATGGGAACTCAATTACTTTACTATCCTTTATTTATGACTCCTCGTCTCCAAAGTTTTCCACCCAGTGTCCATAACAAATTTAAACTCAGAGCAGTTGTTTTCTTTTTCTCTGTCAGCAGTTTCATCCTTCACATCCAGATCTGAAACTGACTTGTGCACTGGAAAGAGTGTCTCCTGCCTGGAATAGGAGATAAAAGATACTACTTCTCTCTAATATTATTCTTCTATGATAAACAAGAAAAAGAAAATAAACTTTACTGTAATATGGAATTATGTTTTTCACAGAAAAGGTGTTTTACAGTGTTTGCAGATTTTGTTGTTCTTCACCAGAGCCTAATGAAAGGATAATATAAATGAGTATTACAATGCAAAGAAAGATCAACTGGACGTGGCTAAAAAACAGTATAGAAGGGTCAAGTACCATCTAATTACAGCACTAAATAATCACAGTTTTGTAAGTGCCTGTCTCAAAGATTCTGACTTTGCGCTGAAGTGCTATTAAAATTCTCTCTACCACCAAATTCATCAAACACAAATACACTCTTGGTGACCTCTGTGTGCTTAAAAGCTCTGCAGAACAGCACTGGCTAATTAATTACAAATTTAGTTTTAAATAAGAAGACACTGGAATGGATTTTCTTTTCCCACTTAATGAGAGCTGTCTAAAGTCAGATTTTTCTGATATGGTTTCAGCAGTATAGCTGGACTTCTGTGAGTATTTCAGAAATCTAATCGCTAAAACTGTGCCAGAAGCAGCAAGTCTATATGAGCATATTAAATGCACAGTGGGAAATAAAAGACTGCATCAAAAATACCTCAAATGGAAAATATATTATTTTAATTCTTTCTACTTCAATACTCAAAAGACAGTCCTTGAAGGGATAGCCCTTAGTAAACCAAAATGAACACTGTGGATATGTAGGACAGCTGCCATCAGCAAAGAAGCTAAATGCAAATTTAGAATGTATATCTCATAAGGCTAAAACCTGTGTTTATTAGCAGTGGGTGTAATCCACATACAATGACATCAGTAAGAGAAATGAAAAACAGGCAATCTCTGAGCTCTGCAGCAGGGATTCAATCTCCGGACTTCTGGGTGAAGATACTTTTCTCTCTAGTCTGCTCAGAAGGATTTATTTTTTATTTTTCCACCAAAGCATACTATCTCGTGCATCCTTTCCCTTTTGTTCTAGGCCATTTATTATCCCTAATTATGTTGTTCATGCTGCAAATCTCATTTGATAGTTTTTGGCTGGGAGGAAGGGTTTGATTTCTGACTTCAGTTGGTTTTCTTGTTCACTAATACAAAATATTGAAACTCTTGGGACACATTAAACTTAGCACAAGTCCTCACAATCTAAGTGTCCTTTCTGCTCTCCAGAACATCTGCTTTGTGGAGCTGCTGTTTTAAGAGTCTGACTTTGTAAAAGGCTTACGCTTGACAGGTACGTGTCTCTGATAAATCCTTTGCCTCAGTTTCATGGAAGATGCTACCCTCTTAATTCTGGCATCAGTGAGGACATCACAGGGACATTGTCCTACAGTCAGTGCACGCCACCATAATGGTTGTAAGAATCAGTGAGTCTTTATGGGGATGCCTGTGTAAAAATGTCTTTGAGCATTTATTTCCATGAGTGCCGTTCTGATGTTTTGTAACCTGGTTATCCCAGTTTCTGGGGAGCTCATGGTCTTGGCTGCACTTATTGCTACAGCACAGGCAGAGAGGGGCTGAGACTGTGCCCACAATGAAGGCATAATACATTTATAAACACAGAATCACAGAATAAGCTGAGTTGGAGGGAACCCACAAGGATCACTGAGTCAAATTCCTGGCTCTGCCAGGACCATCCCCAAGACTCACACCACATGTCTGAGAGCACTGTCCAAACACTTGAACTCTGTCAGGTTTGGTGCTTGGTTCCCTGGGAATCTGTTCCAGGGCCCAACCACCCTCTGGGTGAAGAACCTTTTTCTAATATCCAACCTAAACCTCCCCTGACACAGCCTCAGGCCATTCCCTCGGGTTCTGTCACTGCTCACCACAGAGATCAGTGTCTGCCCCTCCTCTTTCCCTCACAAGAAGTTGTAACTGCAATGAGGTGTACCCTTAGTCTCCTCTCCTCCAGGCTGAACAGACCAAGTTACCTCAGTTCCTCCACATATGTCTTCCCCTTCACCATCTTTGTTGCCCTCCTTTGGATGCTCTCTAACAGTTTAGTATCTCTCTTATACTGTGGCACCCAAAACAGCCCCAGCACTCGAGGTGAGGCTGCCCCAGAGCAGAGCAGGACAATCCCCTGCCCTGCCCAGCTGGTGATGCTGGGCCTGGTGCCCCCAGGACACCCTTGGCCCTCCTGGCTGCCAGGCACAGACCCACAGACCCCTGCAGCCATGCTCAGCCCAAATGGGGTCAAGCAAGGGGGGCTGCAGTGGCCAGGCTGCAGTGACCGGGATGCAGTGACCGGGCTGCAGTGGCCGGGCTGCAGTGGCCGGGCTGCAGTGACCGGGCTGCAGTGACCAGGCTGCAGTGACCGGGCTGCCCGTGTCCCTCAGCCCCGGGCTGCAGGGCAGAGCCTGCTGCTGAGGCACTGACACAGGTCTGCACCGTGGGGTAGGTGATGGGAGCCCTGTTGTGCAAAGATCCTGAAGAAACAAACTTCTTGGAGAATTTTAGTGATGCTGGATGAGGCAGTTGCATTGGAACACAAATTCTTCTTGC